AGCGCCGGCCTGCCCCGGTCCCGGGCCACCACCGTCACGCGGTGCTCGGACGCCTGCTCTCGGTCCAGCGCACCCGCCGTCACCACCTTGTACGAGCCGCCCGAGGACGCCACGATCGACAGCGGCGCCTCTCCTGACAGCTCACACGACACCTGGCCGTTCTCGCCCGAGTCCAGGTCATTTACGTTCAAGAGAGCTACCACGGTGCCCACCGGAGCGTCTTCAGGCACCGGGCTCGAGAGCGACAGAATTGTGATCTCAGGTCGGTTATCATTTACATCAAGCACCTCCACCTCCACCTTGGAGTGTGCCACCAAACCGCCGCCATCCGTCGCCTCCGCAGTCAGGCTGAACATGCGCGTGTCCTCAAAGTCCAGAGCTTCCTGCAGGGTGATCGTTCCTCTCTGGGCATCTACTACGAACTTCTGAAGCACTTTAGTGGGCATTTTCCCGAAACCATAAGTAATGTGTGCGTTGGTGCCGGCGTCGGCATCAGAGGCAGAGATGTTCACCACTATCGATCCCGGAGGCGTGTCCTCACGCAGGCTCACACGGTACCGGTCCTGCGCGAACACGGGTGGGTTGTCATTGGCGTCGGTGACGTTGATCCAGAGCTCGGCGGTGCCAGTCCGAGGTGGGTCTCCCCCATCCAGTGCTGTCAGCAGCAGCCGCAGGCTCGGCTCACTCTCCCGGTCTAGTGAGCGGCGCAGCACCAGCTCTGCAGATTTGCTGCCGTCTTGGCTCTCTTTCACCTCCACCGTGAAATACCCATTAGGCTCCAGCTCATAGCCTTGTAGTGAGTTACTACCCGTGTCCGGATCCTCTGCCATACCCAAGTAAAACCGGGCACCGGGAGAAGTCAACTCGTTGATCTCCAGTTGGAAACTGTCTTGAAGGAAGCGTGGCGTGTTGTCATTAACATCCGCGATCACCACTTCAACGTGGAAAATGTTCAGCGGGTTGTGCACCAGCACCTCAAAGCTGACGGAGCAGGTCGCCGACTCGCCGCACATCTCCTCCCGGTCCAGCCTCTCGTT